GGGCGAAAGGCAGTTTGTGGTCCCCCTCGGCCCGCCCCTCGCGCAGGCGGCAGGATGGGCCCCAGCCTCCAGGCGGCTCAGCGGGGAACCTGCTGGCTCCGGAGTCCTGCCGTGAATTTCAGCCAATCCAGGCCAGTTCCAACCCAGGAAACGCTGCCGCACTCAATGTGTCCTGGCGCCTCTCAGCCAATTCCAGGGCTTCCTAACCCACCCCCTCTCCCCAGGTGACCACAGATCTGCGGCACCGCTGCACCGACAAGCACACGGGCACCTCGGCCTCTGCCCCCCTGGCTGCAGGGATGATCGCGCTGGCGTTGGAGGCCAAGTAGGTAGAACCTGCGTCCACACTGCACTCCCCACGTAGCCTCCACCCCGAGGGGGTCTGCTAGGACCAAAATAGCTCCCCGTCACGCCAACACAAGCAAACGCCGGATCCAGTGGGGGCAAAATAGCTCACAGCAAGGTGGGTTGTGCAGCCTCCTCTCCAGGGGCCCAAATCTAGTGTCCCCTCCCAGCTGCCTCAAGGAAGCCAGCTGATGGGTCTCCATCCAGTCCGAATGCCTGGGTGTCCACCCCACCATCTGCCCTAACCAGACCCCTTGAGAGAAGCAAATGAAGTCCAGGTGCTCATAGGGTTGCCAAGTGTCCGGTATTTTCGCCTCCTGTCCAGTAAAAATATTCAGAAAATACTGACACCTAAAATGCCTGGTATTTTCTGGGGGGGTTTCCCCGCCAGGAGGCGAAAATACCGGACACCTGGCAACCCTCCACACACTCAACAACCAGGCCTAGCCCCCGGACTTCCCCTCCCAGACCCACCTACTTACCTGGTTCTGCAGGGAAGCTGCTTTCTGGCTCGATGAAGAAAACAAGATGGCCACTGGCCAAAAAGCCTAAAGACCTGAAGCAAGGGGAAGCAAAAGCCTTTCCTGGGTCTTAGTGCTCAACCCCTCCGCTGTTCCTGTCCCTATTCTGACTCTGCCGCACTTAAAGGGGCCATGCTGTTTTAGTCATTTATTTACTTAGATTTGCTCAACAACTTTGGTCTCCCCCTCTTTTTCCCCCTTCAACAGATTTTTTTCCCTGGTGTTTTTTTTGGGGGGGGGGGAGGAGGGTCAGTATTTTTGGTTAAACCATCCAGCAACCCTAGGCACTCAGCTTATCTATTCTGAAACGCAGCCTCCCCAAAGCACCGGAGGCCAAGCAGGGACCGGCTGGAGAAAGCTTTGCCCTGACATGAACCGGAATAAATGGCCAAGGGAGGGTGTGGAGCCCCCATCACTGGAGAGAGTGAAGAGCTGGTTGGACGGACACCTGTCAGGGAGGATGTAGATGGTGCTTGGTCCTGCCGTGAGGGCAGGGGACGGGCCTTGATGGCTCTCAAGGTCCCTTCCAAGTCTAGTATCCTGTGATCCTATCACAGTGCCCGTGGATGCATGTGCAGGAACCCCCTGCCACCCCTTTTAGACCCCTAAAGGCACATCAGCCTGTGGATAGAGGAGACCTCTTTTCCCAGAGTCCTCCTTGTCCCCAGCCCGGCGCTGACCTGGCGCGACATACAGCATCTCGTGGTCAGAGCCTCCAAGCCCGCCCACCTGCAGGCAGAAGACTGGGCCCTGACCGGAGTCGGACGCAAAGGTGAGTGGGCGCAGATGGCTCGGGACCCGGGGATCCTATTCCCGCTCGCCGCGGCATTAGCGAAGAAAAGGTCTGAGGCCCTTACCCGACTTCCTCCGCAGCATCCAGGCCGCCTGCCCCTTCCCTGCGTGCTGGGGGGTCTAAGAGCTCGTTCTCACCAGCCTGCCTGGCAGCAGAAAGCTCCCGGGAGTCATGGCTCAGCCATCCAGCCTTGGAGCCCATTGACCCTTCCCTGGGCTGGGGGGGTGTTTTGCAGTGAGCCACCATTACGGCTACGGACTCCTGGACGCTGGGGATCTGGTGGACCTGGCCAGGAAGTGGACGCCGACCGGGCCCCAGAGGAAGTGTTCGGTCAAAGTTATCTCCGCGCCCCTGTAAGAAAAGAAACCTCGTTGGAATCGGAGCCCTGCCGTTGGGCGGGGGTGGGGGGAGGGGATCCTGGCGGAAAAGCCCTGCCGTGCCCAAAGCAGGAGCTAGGAACGACGTCCGGAGGACGGACAGGAGCCCTCGGACTGGGAACCAGGCCTCAAGCACCTGCTGGACACGTTCAGACGCCACAGCGCTTCCGGGGCTCCCGCTGCTGCAATTTAGCATCCCTCAGATTCCTGGGGGTGGAGACTAGAGCTGGGGCCCCTGGGGGGTCCTTCCCTTCCCCCCCAGCATGATCCCCATCCTCGGCTGCCGTTTGCTGGACACACCAGGCCTGATGCTGGTCCCTTTGTGGATCCGTTAAATACCACTGACGCAAGCGGCTTTGGTAGCAGACTCCCCAGTGCCTCGTCCCACTGGCTTTCTGGGACCCCTGCGGGGGCAGGTGCCTTCACCTGCTCCTCTTGTCTCCTGGCAGGAAGATAGGCTCGAAACTCACAGTCAGCAAAAATGTCTCCCCCTGCCTCAGGAGGGCCAGGCATATCCGCTCCCTGGAGCACGTCCAGGTCCGCGTCTCCCTGAGCTACAGCAGGAGAGGGGATCTAGCCATCTCTCTGAGCAGCCCGATGGGGACCACCTCCACCCTGGTGGCCGTCAGGGAAGGGAAGGCAGAATTCCCTGGCCAGGGCGATTTAAAGCCAGGGAATTCCCATCTGGCTCCACAGGAGCCGCGAGGCTGTGCTAGGAGTCCTCAGCCTGGGGTCACACCCCGCCGGAGGGTCGCCAACAGGCATTAGGGTTACAACCATCCTGCCCTTCGCATGTTGCTGAAGGCGAGGGGGTGGGGTGGTCCCTGCTGATGAGGCAGAGTGTGTGTCTGCCTGGAACCGTGGGGCTGGGAGCTGCTTGAAGCTGCCGTCGTAGGAACCTTCCACTTGTTCGGGGTGGGCTGCGGTTTCCGAAGTGGATCTCGCGGCTGACGGGTTTGTGCGTGTCCCTTCCCTCGCCCCCGCCAGGCCCTACGACACCAGCACCCAGGGCTACAAGGACTGGTCCTTCATGTCCACGCACTTCTGGGACGAGGACCCCCGGGGCACCTGGACACTCTTCCTGGAGAACAAGGGGGATCCCTACAACACAGGTGAGCCCCAGGTCATGCAGCCTGATGCAGGAGGGCTGACGGGTTTGTGCGTGTCCCTTCCCTCGCCCCCGCCAGGCCCTACGACACCAGCACCCAGGGCTACAAGGACTGGTCCTTCATGTCCACGCACTTCTGGGACGAGGACCCCCGGGGCACCTGGACACTCTTCCTGGAGAACAAGGGGGATCCCTACAACACAGGTGAGCCCCAGGTCATGCAGCCTGATGCAGGAGCCAGGCTGCAGCCGCTCCTCTGAGCGCACGGCGGTCAGGACCCAGAGTTCAGGCTGCTGCAGGGATGCGCGTGAAGACCTAGAGGGATGATCCCCTGTGGGCCAGCAGACTTCCAGGCAGCAAGGTCTCTGCCTGGGTTCGTGAGTGACGGTGCAGTCACAGTTCCCACAGGCATCCGTGGCCACCCCCAGCTCTCCCCATGAACACTCTGCCCGAGTGACTCCCCTTCCCTGAGCTCCCTTCTTTGCTCTCCCGTTTGTCCCGTCTCCTGCACCGCGTGTCCCCAGGGCCGGGGCTGAGCTCCCGACCCCGCTGGGGGGGTTAGCACTAAGGAGGTGGTGCCTTCAGCGCTAGGCGCACAGTTCCCACAGGCATCCGTGGCCACCCCCAGCTCTCCCCATGAACACTCTGCCCGAGTGACTCCCCTTCCCTGAGCTCCCTTCTTTGCTCTCCCGTTTGTCCCGTCTCCTGCACCGCGTGTCCCCAGGGCCGGGGCTGAGCTCCCGACCCCGCTGGGGGGGTTAGCACTAAGGAGGTGGTGCCTTCAGCGCTAGGCGGGGCTG